GAGCAATTGAGGGAGCTGGGACTGTTCAGTTCAGCGAAGAGGAGGCTGAGGGGGGACCTCATCATGCTCTACAATTACTTGTAAGGATATTGTAGAGAGGTTGGTGCTGATCTCTTCTCACAGGTAATTAGGGACAGAACCAGGGGGAATGGTTGCAAGTTGCAACAGGGCAAGTTTAGGCTGGACATTAGGAGGAAATTCTTCATGGAAACAGTGGTCAGACACTGGAATAGACTGCCTAGAGAGGTGGTTGAGTCACCATCCCTGGATGTGTTTAAGCGTCGCTTAGATGTGGTATTGGGTGATATGGTTTAGGGGTCGACTTGTAGTGTAGAGTCAATGGTTGGACTCGATGATCCAAAGGGTCTTTTCCAACCTGAACTATTCTATGATGCTATGATTCTATGTTAAGATCAACAGGTGCCAACAGTGTGCGCTTGCAGCCCAGAAAGCCAACCGTATCCTGGGATGTGTCAAGAGATGTGTGACCAGCAGTTACAGCTCCCCACCTGGAATACTGCATCCCGCTCTGGAGCCCCCAACAAAAGAAAGACATGGAGCTGTTGGAGAGAGTCCAGAGGAGGGCTACCAAGATGGTCAGAGGGATGGAATACCTCTCCTATGAAGACAGGCTGAGAGAGTTAGGCTTTTTAAGCCTGGAAAAGAGAAGGCTCTGGGGAGGCCTTATAGCAGCCTTCCAGTACCCGAAGGGAGCCTACAAGAAAGCTGGGAGGGACTTTTTACAAGGGCCTGTAGTGATAGGAAGAGGAGTAATGGGTGGAAGCTGGAAGAGGGTAGGTTTAGACTACATATAAGGAAGAAGTTCTTTACCCTGAGGGTGGTGAGGCACTGGAACAGGTTGTCCAGGGAAGTTGTGGATGCTCCATACCTGCAAGTGTTCAAGGCCAGGCTGGATGGAGCACTGAGCAACCTGATCTAGTGGGAGATGTCCCTGCAATGGCAGGAAGATTTCTTCTTCCAGCCTGGGTTCAATTTCTAGAGTTGATTCTTTTTCCATTTGATTGCATTAGGTTTCTATTAACTAATTAATTATAAACAGAAGCAATAAAAATATTTCCGAAATATTTAGAAATTAGCTGTCCATGTAAATTAAGCATCTGTACACTACAGAAATAATAAAAATAATACTGAAACAACATTTTTTATTTTATCCAAGCAGAAGTGCTTACTTAGGTTACTATTTACTTTTCATTTTATGCAGGTAAGTGGTACATGATAATAAGAGAAAAAAAAGTAACTTTGAGAGAAAAACTTGGACTTCAGTCTGATCATGATATGGAATGTACCACCATGATTATAAAACATGAGGTGAAAGGACCATCTAACCTCACATTCTGCCTTTGGCTGTGGCTAACAACAGCCACCTAGGAAAACCTAGTAAATACAGTGCAAACATACAGTAACACTTCTATGGGATACTTTCTTTTCCCCTAGATGTCAATATATCTGGGACTGCTTGAGTTGGCTAGTCATTTCTCCTGTAACCAAACAGGATTTTACATACCTCTACGCACATCAGTCATCTCTCTTCTAGGTTGCAAAGTCTTTACTATAAAATCTCTCCCTTACTTTTTGTCACAGTTTACCTTTACTAATTCCACAAGTGGATATAATTGTATGCATTGTTAAGACAACTGGGGTAATAAAGACTGAGGTTGAACCTGAACAGCCTTAACAAATACTGTTTGAAACTTAGCAAATTCAGCTATTTCTGCTGTATCATCACCCACAGTACTCTAAAACCAATTTTTATATTTGTTAACCATTATTTGCTTTGATTAGCCTATGCTTACCTTTTCAGACAGTAGAACTCCCCAAAATATAGAACCTTATTGCCTATTTAAACTCAGTGTCTGTGATATAACTGCAATTATAAAGCAATGTAAGCAATATGTTACTCACTTGTATTTATCTTCTGAAGTGAAATGTGCTTTTCCAACTGTCTACGAAGTTTCACTTCTGCTCCATATTTACCAGTAGTGCCATTGTCAGCCAAAATAAAATGTGAATGCATACTGTTGAGCACTGTCAACTTACTCATGGGATTGGACATTGTCTGGTATGGTCGGACCACCTGAATTTTAGAGACAGAGGAAAAGAAAAAAAGTCTGCTTAAAAATAACTTTAGCATTTAAAACAGTGTGGTCACCTCTTGTAAACACTGAAATTTTAGATGCAGACACTTCTTAAAGGGTTTTCCGTGGCAACTTGTTTCAATAGCATCAGCAGCCATCATTTCAGTGTTAAGTCCTGCTAACCGTTAGTCTTCCAAAGCTCTGTGTGACTACACACACACACTAGACCCCCTGTCAGCTGCTGTCTTTCAATAGCGTTGCTGTAAACCCTCACTTCATTTGACTCTTCTTGCACAAACCCCACCCATGTTCCCTGTCGTAACTCATTCAGAGCCACCAGCACAGGAGTCCTCTGCAGACCTCTGCTCACCAATATAGGTGAGCTTCACTCTTGCAGAGGTGTACCTGTAACACTACACCGCATTTTCAATTTCCTTGGAAAAAAATATCGACCCATTCCTTGCACAGTACAAAGGCAGTTGCTTGCTTTCACAATAGCTTAAAAGTTTCCATTCAATATGGAATTTGATACACTTACTTAGATTTGTCTTCATCACAAGAAACTTTTCTGCAGATAGAGTAAATTGTTGTAGAGTTATCTCAGTCATACCCAATTTATAGCACTGGGCCACATTTGGCTGTCAGCTGCTTTAGTGGGACTTGAGTGATGACACTGATGTGACAAAAGAATTGATGTTATGTTGAGGGATCCTGCATGATCAATCAAAAACATTCACTAGAAATACTGTTCCTTGGAGAGTTTATGCATGTCTTGTCTTTTGGAAAGACAAAACCCTGAAAATTTGTAAAATTAAGTCCTAGCTGAAGAAACACTGAAGTGACTTATTGCAAAACTCAGCTGGGCTATACTTCATCTGCAAGGAATTTTCTTTACAGCTCTGGCATTGCTCACTTTGCAAATCTAACAAAAACTTGTGCTTTTTAAAAGTGTACATTCATGTTTTTACAAAAATACACACAGACAAATATATTAATTTCTTACTAAGCTTCTCTCCCTTCTTGTTATTCTGAAGAGATATTAGTAATTACTTGGCTACATCAAAGTCTCTGTTACTTTCACTTTGGCTAACTCTTCGATGGCAGCAGGGGGAAACCCACAGACTTCTTTGGCTGTTAGAAAGTGTCACATAGAGGGTACTCTAAGAGGGTACTCTGTAGGTGGATTATTCTCCAAAGGGAGGAAACAGGTCTGAGAAGACTGAGAGGACAGCTGGGCAACAAGACAGTGCCCTCTGCTATGAGAACAGGTAATAGCTTTGGCTCAGGTTTCCTTTTCTTTTGGTGCCCCATTCATAAAACATTTATTCTACAGGTGCATACAGCTTAAGAAATATCAGTACACTGTTCTTTATCACATGTCTAAGAATCAAATGAAAACAGTTGCAGATTTTTTAAGCTGATACCTGCCCCATCTCTCAGTACACAGGTCAACAACCTCTGATGATCACAAGCTGCTGTGCATGCAGTTACACTCCAATTCCAGCTTGCGGTTTGCCCCTGAGAGCCACAGCTCAAAACTTTGTAACAGTGATAGCTTTATCTGCAGTCCTAATGAGCTGCAGCATCAAAGGCTCCACATATTGACTTAGTAATGCCACTGCTGAGCTGCTTTAGTTCTGTGTCTGCTGTTTAGCTACAAGGTGAATCTTACTATTAATGTGCTTTATAGATATTTAAATGAAAATACAATAATTTTCAAATGAACTGTTCACAGCCTGCACAATCCAACACGTAAAATACTTACTTTTAATAATAATTTCACAAATGACACCATTTTCCCTATTTAAAGGATAAACAAAATCTTCACGAAGGCAAGAAAATCCTAGGCTCTGAGGCTATTTCCTTGAGGTGTATTGATGTTCCACAACACTCAGCAGATTTTCAATTTCTTAATCTTGTAGTCCCCATTCCTTTGTACTTTTCAATCCCTTACAAGTTACAGGCAAGTTAAAAGATTAGGAAAGCTTTGATGTCTTCTCATTCTCTTTCTGCACTAAGAAGAGGGAATAACTTCTGGCATTGTCCTCTGCAGAGCTCAAAGGAAGCATTTATGCTCAAGACAACCCCTCTAAACATAACAAATGAATGTGACAGCTGCCATCCTCTGAAGCAGGACTCTTCAGGTTGAGGGTATTCTATCAATAGGTGATGAGCTGGGCTAATCGCAGCAGTTGCCTTTGCACCCTGAGGTGGCAGCAAACTTGAATTAAAAGCATTGTCACAGTGTGTTTAAATTCCCCACAGGCACATGGCACTCAACATAGAGACAGCACTTGAACAATTGGGATAGGGGCTGGTTAGCTCAGTTGGTTTGAGCACGGTGCTGATAACACCAAGATCATGGGTTCGATCCCCGTTCGGTCCCCCTGTGTTGCCTGATGTAGTTGAGAGGTGTCCCTGCCCATGACAGGGAGGTTGGATTAAATGATCTCTAAGGTCCCTTCCAGCCTAGGCCATTCTATGAATCTATGAATTGCTCAGGGTATCTTGCTATGGACCACGAACATCCACATGCCATGTGATCCAATGTGTGAATCTGAGCAGTCCAGGTAAAGGCAAATAATTTGCTACAAACTTAGTGTGTTCAGAATAGTGGCAGAAAAAGAAAGACGTGTGCTTTGCTTCTCATAAAGTAGTAGCTCTTGATCAAATAAAGCCTGCTCTGCAGTCTCACTGTTTTGGGGTACGCTAGGGAATAGAGGAGTTCCTGGTTTAATTTATAGGACCCTGGAAGCATCATGGTCCAAATTCTCTGCATATGCTACGAATATGGCAGTCCCCAGCTTTTCCCCAGGAATCTTTGCAATGAGAGAGCTGAAACTCTTTTCCTTACACCTTTCTTTATAGTAATTGCTTCCTAACCTGGCCTGCAAGGGGAATCTGATACTCTGAGACTGCATAAAAGTTAGAGCAAAAAACCTTGTGAACTAACTATTTATGGTCATTTGTAATCTTTTTTCTTTTTCCTCCAGCATTTCAATTTATTCTCAAAGAGTAACAATCTTGTGGGAGGATAATTGCAAAACATCTACCAAAACCAAGTCAGCATTGGTAACAACAAATCAAATGACTGTAAGGTAACACACACTTATTAATTGGTTGCCTAGAGATTGGTAACTTTAATAGCTATTCTGAAACCTGCAGAAAATAATTAAAACAAAATATAATCTTTCTGACACTATAAAAACAAAGCAGTATGAGAGACCGAAGGAAGCAGTCTCATGCTATAAGATAATGTTGTTATTCAAATTACTAAGACAGAATGAATAGGAAATGTGTAGCCCATCTGATAGTCTGATATATGTATCATCTGGTACACACATATAGAGTAAATACTATGAATGCTGGTCTTTCTGACAAGACTCATCAGAATGTGTTTTAAAGACCACAGTTTAAAGTGCTGAGTTTTGGCTACATAACCATCAAGCTTGACAGCTATATAATTTTTTTCCATATACACAAATGGTATTCATGTATACTAATTCTAATGCATCATTAATTCATGAATGTACACTTTTTCTGGTTTGAATAACCTTTGGTAATCTCAGTCACAGACGTGGTATTTTGAGAATGAAGGGGGCTTGGTACTGCCAGAGTGAAGTCCTTTACAATGAAGCATTTACTGATGGGATTGGGGGTAGGGACTGGGCAGGACTTAGTGTGTTGATGAAAATAAGCATTTTTCAGTTAGTTCAGCTGTAATACACAGTAAACATTTCCAGTTTTTTAAACTTTAAGTGTTCCCCGTTGGTTATGTTTTCTGCACATCCTGTTTGCTCTTGCTTCCTTGACTTGTCTTATAACTAGATGTTGGCCCCACCTGTCCCCAGTGCCATGATTCCAAAGGTTGTGTATCACTCCCATCACTAAATTCCAGCATAATACTCATCCTCTGAAACAGCACTGAGTTATAATGTAACCAAGTTCCTAACTACTAATAATTACCTGGTGACTCACTACAACATGGAAGGCCACCATCTTTCCTGAAGAAGTTATCTAGTTATTAGTTAATAATTAGTTATTGTCCTCAGTCTGAGGACTTTCAGAAGTTCATGCTAGTACCTACTCCATGAGAGGCTGACTTATAACTTCTTTGTTGTGACTATGCCTTCCAAAATGCATACAACATTCCAGCTTGTAAACTTCCTCTCTTTTACATCCTTCACTTCAATACTGAAAAAAGCTGAAGATAAAACTGAGCAAGTGCAGTAAGACTTCAGAGTTCTGTGATACTCTTGGAGCATCCCAGAGAAAACTTTGCTGATGATATGTTGTTACCTCCAGTTATAAAATTCATTAAGTGCACTAATATAAAAATTGGATACTCTGAAACGGCAGCATTCAAGAAATCAGAAGCATTATCTGGAAACAGACTGAGAAAGCCAGGCTTTATTTTTTAACAGAAAATATATCTAAGGATGTTTGGATTCAACTTCTGCTTAGTCCAATGTAAATTTAGATTTTATATAAAAAGGACAAAATTTGCTCCTTTTGTTTATGACTTCAGCTGCATAAAAGAGTAGGTTTCATTAGCAGTATACTTATTGCTTGAGTTTTATTAAATTTGTTGTGTTTTTTTTTCTGAATATTCTGAGCAGTATAAAAGAACAGGCATCTCTTACTAGTGAAGTCCATAAAGAACATCTATAAATGTCAAAGATAGTACTTCCAACATTTGAGTTCTAGGAAGTAAAAAATATAATTTGCTCTGGAATACAGCATGCTTTAAAGGGGTTGATATATGTAAGATATCATATATAACATACAACATATATGAGATATACAATAGATACATTATTTATTAAATATGTATATGTATAATAAACATCTATGTAATATAAAATATATAATATATAAAATAATATATATTATATGTACAATTATATACTTAATGTACAGATATACATTTCTTGTGAGAAACAGTGGGATTTTTTCCCGATAAGGCTTTTTGCTTTATGTAACATTTTTGTTAGTTTATGCACAAGTCTAAAAAGTGGGGTTATGTTTTGGGTTGTTGATTCTGCTTTGCTAAATGATAAAAGCTCACTATATTGCTTCCTTTTCACTGACTATAGTTTTTATTAAAAATAAATATATTACTTTTTTTTCCAAAATTTCTGCTGAGTTTCAGTTTTGCCATACTCTAGTTGTTGAGTGTAACCAAAAGATCAATGAAGTATTATAGGGAGAGAAACACACTATAATCCATGGCTGTAACAGTAGCTATGAGAAACAAATAAACCTAAAGAAATTGGAAAAGAATTTAGGATTTCTCCTTATGCAACCTGCTGGATCCATGTATGGAAGGATTTTTACAGCAGCCACATAACAGTGAGTGTCATGGGTTTTGTAGTGATTCAGCAAAGCAGCACAGAAGCTAACTTTTATGGTCAATTAGTTGAGTAAGAAAATGAATGTTTGTTTGTTTGATCCTCAAAACTGTAATTACTAAAAAATGCATCCTGTTTATGTTAGTAGGTTATATACTACAGCATCTTAACTGATCAATGACGTATCACAGTATGATGGAAATGTCCTTTTCACTGAATTACACAATAAAAGCATATCTTGATTTAAGTTTGAAATATTAGCTTCTTTGGACTGAAAATGAATGATTTAACTGAGCAAAAAAGGAAGTACTAGAATTAATGTTCTCTTTGTAATCCAAGCACTATTCCTACAGAGGTGACTAGGAATTTAACTCAAATGAGGACTGAACAGGTTCTGAAAGTAAAGACATGCATGCTGTGAAGATTCTCAGAGTGCACTCTTTTAAAAGGAAGAATAGCTCTGTATGTAGGGAGAAACTTGTTTATAACTGAAGTTTTCTACAAGACTGTGCAAGCCAGCTTACTTTCTCAGTTCTGTCAGAAAACTAGAAATAAGGCAACCACCTACTTCTCCCTTGTGTGCTTTGTTTTTAAATTAGAATATAAGTTCATTAAGAGTGTTAAATTGCTTTTACAAGACAAGACTCTCCAGGCATCTTTAGCCATCACAGTATAACAAATAGCAAACAACAGTAACGCTTTTCTTAACTTGGCTAGTTCTTCTGACGACTTTGAGTAAAAGCCCTTGGGATTCCCAAGAACTGGCTGATTTGGATGGACTGCTAAATTTCATAAAACTCCTCATCTATGACTTCAAGTTCGATGCAGGCTAGGCAAGGGCTGGAGCTCTGGCAGAGGCACAGCTCTGCTGAGCATGTCTGACTTGCCCCAGGCACAGGGAGGCAACACGCACTGGGACATGTGCAATAGCAAAAAATGCCCGTCTCCCCCCAAATGCCATGACTAAGATAATCTTCTCTATCTATCTGATGCTGGAAGGGTATGTTTAGACAACTCTTCTGGTTCTGACTATAATTTAACTGGACACAGTGCATATAGGCATAAAGCCACATTGATGCTGGAGTTCAACAGGCCTTTTACTATTGGTTGACATTTTTCCCCCCTGCATAATCCTCTGTGATCCTTGCTTCTTGCTTAATGATTATTCATTTTACATGCTTATGGTACCATTCACATTTCCCCTTCTTGGTTCATTTCACAGCATTCACCTCTAATGAGCAAGTCAATATGGTACACTTTGATTTTCAAAACCTTTCAAAAAGCTTCCTCACCAAATGCTTCTAAAGAAAATGCAAATATTGGATAAGAGGGGAGGTCCTTTGAGGGATTAGTAACTGGGAAAAGCTGAGGGAAAGGAGGGAAAACAGTGAGAAGGAAAATTTAATTGTTTCAAAGACTGAGTGTTACTAAGAAGATTTAGTGACATAAGGGGCCTGCCATGTTCTGCTCAACACCATTGAGTGGGAATTGGGGTTAACAAGGATGTGAAAAGCTTACAGATATTTCAGTGAACTATGAAAAGTTAAATAAAGTCTTCATAAAGCAGCTTGACTAGGCAATAAAATGGAAGATGAAATTCAGTATCAATAACCATAAAGTGATACCATTACATGTGCATCAGAGATAGATAAAAACAGAAGTGCATCAGCATCGCATTTATGAAAATATTAGTGACCAGTAAGTTCAGAGAAGTTTCAACTTTTTCTATCATGTATATGTTTCAGAACTACTTTTGTCCTTAGTAATGACCCTGTAATTGTAATTTTACTGATATTTTACTGTTTTCTTTACTTTTAAAAAAAAATTTCTCACTTCCTGTCTGATTATCTAGGAGGTCTAAGATCTGAGACCAAGTGTTACTTTTTTTTTTTTGTTTATTTACCTGACTGGAACAGCTAGGAAACCAATTTCGTTCTTAGCTTGTACTGTGAAAGAAAGCTCCAGAGTCCCTTTAACAGGTGGTGACTAGCTGAAAACAGAGGTAGACAGCTTTCCAGCAGGTGGAAATAATTACTGGAGGAATAACAAAGTCCCAAAATTCGCAGCTAATTTGACATCCTTTCTTTCCTTCTTTCTTCTTGAAATGCTTCCAGAACTTCACGCTTAGCCAGTAAAGACTGCTTATTTGAAATTGATATGTACATTACACTTAAATGTACAAGATTCACCTCATCTTTGTGATTAGCTACTTTTGCTAGTCACCTTTTGCACTGCATCTCAGAAGAGTTAATTAGTAACTCAAAATTACTGCTGCAGAGTCCTGATTGTCTGTATGCATTGGTAACCCTATTTTACAAGTGCTAGTGGCATTAGAGTACAAAACTCCACACTAATACAATTCTCCCTAATAGCTATACTCTAATAGTGAATTGCAATGAAATCCAGTTGGATCAATTTTTTCATACTCATGGTAATTTCTTCTGACCTAAGTCATAACTGAACCTTCTTCCCTCCCCTAACCTGCTAACAGAGAAGAGTGGTTTAGAGTAATGTAGACAAGCAAAATGTTCATTAAGCAGAATGAAAACTGAATCTTCACTCACAGTTAGCCACTGATTCTCAGGCAGATTTCTCCAGAACAAAATAAAAGTAAGGGAAAAAAAAGGGCTCAGATAAGCTTCAGGTAACACATAACCATTGCAAATAAAGTATTAGTGTATTTAAAATTAGGGAATTAATCTTTCTGAGTGAGATTATAGGTTTAAAAGAGAAGAATGATGTGAAAGAGCACAAGAAACACCAACTCCACCCCTCAGAAGGTGACTAAGTAATGATTCTTTGAGCTGTGACTTTATTTCCAATATGTTCATAGGACTTTTTAAAACTTCAGTAATAAAAAAGTATAGGACAGCATATGTTATAAGGGGGACGGTCTATAATTTTGAATTTGACCAGTACATCACGGTATTGTTTCAGAATTAGACTTCATGCTTTGCAATCACTGTTTTCTTTGGCACTTTTCATGGTTTATAGTGCTCTAAGGATGAAAGTCTAATAGAATAGCATTTAAGGAAATTATTATTTATTCTTAAAGAATGTACAGTGCATGAATTTTATCACTGGCATTTCAAAACTGCTATCAACCATAACGGAAAACATGTGTATGTATTGATTTTTTCTTGCAAACATTAGTTCTGTGAGGAACTGGTAAGTGAGGCATAGAGAGGAAAGCAAAAAAGAACTGAAATATTTATATATATTGGAGGTAATCTATGTTCATATAGAGCTTACATCTTTGCCAATCAGATCCTCTTGATTTTCCACAATCCCCCATGGAGCTATACCAATGGTGCAGATCTTCCCTCTAGATTTTGACGCATGATCTTTCAGTGCATCTCCAACATGCCGAATGACTCCTGGGGAAGGAAACAGCATAAAATAGAAATTCATATTTATTCATTACAATGTGGATTTTTTTAGAATTCTTTTTTAGGGAACACCTACACATACACTTAAGTAAAGCTACAAATATATTCCTATTAATTATTATTATTATTGCAGTAATACTGTAAATGTATTTAATCTACAAAATATTAAATGAATTAGCAAATAAAAAATCACACAGCTCTAGAAATAAGAGTCTTGACAGCTCACTGCAACTTGTTTATCTGCACTTGTGTTCACAAACCTATGTGTATGGAAGCATTTGTGCCTGTTCCAAGCACAGAAAGAAGCACAGAAATCAACACTTCACCAAGCCCTCCCCCAAAAGTGTAGCTAGCACACAAATTTTCCCTTCTGTCTGAATAAAGTACTATAATTCGAAATCATCATTACACTTCTCTGTGGTAAGCTATTCTACCATTCTTTCAAAACAAACTCAGTCACCTGAGAGCTTCCAGTAGAGCATTACAACCCCCTGAGGAGCAGTGGGAAAATAGAAATTAGTACAGAGAGAAAGACTGCTTCCTAGTTCTCTTCCAATAACTCTCCTTGTATACTTTAGGTCAGCTTTGTCAGTGTTCCAGCTGTATCTCTGTGCAGAGGACACGTGTCATTCCATTTCATAAAATATATTTTTTACCTGTGTATTAATAACTATTTTTGTGATGTAGCTGCCCTGAAGCACACCTGTGTATTTCCCATGCATGTTATCTGTTATTTGGTTTCTGGTTTTGCTTCTTGTTCAGATTTCACAATTTCAAGATGACTGGGTTAGAATTACAACAGTCATACAGTAGATGTGACTTTAGCTTTTCTGCACCCCAAATAAACCACATAAGAAAAAAAAATCACAACCTTACAAATCCCCAAAGTCCTAGAGTCTAATTTATTTCCTGAGGTGGAAGAGGAAAAATATCAAACCCCTGTACCTGCAATCAGCTATGAAATAAGCTATGATCCAGCATCCCAAAGGATCCAAAGCAGAAAATCTGTTCCAATTGCAAAAATTTCTGCTGTTTAGAATAATCAACTTTCAGCATGACATGAATATTCAGAAGAACTTAAGTTTAAGTCATTTAACAGTCATGGTTAAGCCAAGTGTGTACCACTCTTGTTACATCACTGATTATCAGTCCAATAATAGTATTTCAGGATTTTTCAATTATACTTTCCTTCAGAGAAACATAATTTAAAAATTCATCATCAAGAGAACAGACTGTACACAGAAATTCTCAATTTGTACAATTTCACATGGAGATAAAATACTCAATTTTCATACACATAGTCCAAAAATCTAGCCTTGGAGCAATCAGAAGTAACCAGCAATGAAAAGTAACAGATAATGCAGGACTGCTCCTGCAGTTGTATGTTTTTAAATAACACACAGCAATCTGAACATCATTGCTTTGCCTAGGTAAATTTGATTACAGGAAAAAACTCCACAGTTCAGCAGTAATTATATTGACTTCCAGATGATCTTTCTATGTTCCTTCTAAGCCCCAACATTCCATGATTCCGTGATTCTGTGAATCTGTGACTCTGATTCTGTGATTTGCATTGTTTTGGCACTGGAAACTACAATGTTTTGAAAAATTGCATCCAGCAGCTGTGCATTTGCCAAATGCAAATGTTATATTCAGTCCTTGTTTACAAAATTTCTGTAGTTTGATTTCTACAGTTCCTGTAGTAATCCACTGTAGTAAGTATACAATATCATTTTTCTGATGTGCTTTTAACTTAAAACTTGTATCCGTCTCTGCCTTTATCGCTACACGTGCATCTGTCAACGAACATCAATACAGCACACGGGTCAACATTCAACCTGATTTTCTTTCTTCTTCTGCAGAGATGTGAGGGATATTGCACACATGTTAGCCTGTCTGTTTCTCTCTCTAGCACTCCAGAAGCTATGCCTCTTCATTGCTATTTGTATTGCTGCTGTGATAAAACTGATGATTTTAAATTTTATGTGCTCTTGAAACTGAAGAGCTCAAGAGTCATGTTCAAATACGTAAGAGTTGATCAGAAAAGCACTAAAATTTATGCGTGATAGAATGATTATAATGTTTTCCATAGAGAGTAAGAGGATACACTCTGTGGGATTACTGAAGTCATAAATTATACCGTTGTTACTGCAGCAAATTAGCATGATGTAAGAATTTGCAAGTAAATGTAGCTCAAAACTTTTGCATTTATCTCTAGCAGAACTCTTTGGCCTTCCTCTGACTCCCTCCTCTCTGCCATCTTCAGTGAGGGTAACTGAGAAGACACTGCCCAAAATTTTTTATCTAGAGAATTATGTTTTGCAGCTTATTCCTAAGACCTACAAGCTCTCCCCCAGCCAAGCTGGACCAGCTGTTAACTTCGATCATTAGGACACACACACCGTATGTTACGAATGTTGTTTGAATAGAAATGGCAATGTTATCAGTCTTGCTGCAGGGGCAACAGAGAAAACATACATCAAACTGTCTACAAGAAAGGAAAAACCAAAACTTATTCACAAGAAAGTTTTCCATCACATCCATAAAATGAGCCTTTTCTTCTTTCATATTTCAGATCATAATGTAAGATAAAACTAAGGTCTTTTCTGGATGAAAAGGTTTTCTGTTTTATGTAACAAGAGTCTGACTTCTTCGCTTTCTGGTCAGTAGTCCCTCGTTGTAGTGTACTGTCATCTTCTAAAGTTGTCACTGGCAATGTAGTAATATAATTGCCTCACAGGAGGCTTTGTTTTCTGCTCCCTAGTGTGCTTTTCATGCTTTAGCAAACCTTTTATTTCCCCGGTAGTTTCCAGGCTGTTATGAACCTGGCATTTTCTTGTTTGCATACAGTACAGCCAACACTAATAACATAAAATAGTCAACAGTCCTATTTTTCCCTGGGATGAAATGTCCTAGATGCCACTGTGCTTTCATTTCAGTGTTGCTGTTACCTGTGTTTACTCCTCCAGTGAATATCCATGCTCCAGTTGTCATAGCAGCCTTAATGAGTCCTTTTCCAAAGACCTGCTTGAGTTTTGGCTGAAGTTCAAAATTCTGAAGGCCCCCATGCACAGAGATGAGAAGTTTAGGGAGCTCAAGTTGCCACTCTTTGGTCATCAGATGCAGAAGAAGGTCAGGCTTTGTGTCAAAAGACACACGTACATACTGCAGAAATAAGGAAAGTAGTAGAGAAGAAAAGATGGGTTATACTCACCGGTTCCTAATACATGTCATCTACATCCAATAGATCACTAGAAAAAGGCAACTTTCATGACAAGAGCACAAACGAGTTGCTAACTTGATGATTTTTCAAAAGTTAGGAAACTAGGAATAATGGAACACTTGCAATTCACTGGCTGGACAATTTTCCCTTGCTTAGTAAATGAAATCATTAATTGCTTCAATATGCTTACCAGTGCTCGAAAGATAAATGCCTTCAGTTTATGGATGCAAAAAGTGGAACAAAAATTTGAATCATCTGCCAAAGATGACCTATGTAGTCAGAGTCACATATATCTTATTCTTGAATTAACAAAATCAAACTCTCAAAAGGTAGGAAAAAACAGAAACAAGCTCGACTTTTCAAGCACACCTAAGTTTAAACTGAGCAAGACTACTAAACAAATGCTTTTTGGATGAACAAATGCTAACTTAGGACTTATAGACTGATTTGTACAGATTCATGAATTCACCTAACAAGACACAGGATCCTAAAAGCATTTTGAAATGCATTTACACCCTTCCAGTTGTTGAGTCTTCTGTGCTATATCTTCAGCATTTGGCCCTGAGCGAGATCATGTCCAGCCGTGTGTGCCAAAATTCCTACAGCACTACCATGTCACTCACACATCTGTCTCTTCCTGACAAGCATTTCTCTCTGGGTGCTTTCTCCTGCTCCTTCTGTTGCTGATGTGCCAAGGGTTTCACAAAGTCCATGACAGGGCAGATACTTTTTTGAATTCTAGTTGCATAGCAGAAATGGGACTGGAAGAACCCTCTTAATTAAATAAAATAGGCTACAGAAAGCCATTTCTGTATCAAACTTCTGATTGAACCAATGGACATAGAGTTACTTCAGTACTCTTTCCTTCCTTAATGGGTTGTCAGCATAGTCATCAAGTGTATAACCCAGTCGCTTTGCTGGCTTATAAATTTGCCTTCAGCCAGAGGAATGCCTAATTTTAACTTTTTTATTGTAACATGCCAGATAGTACACATTTCACATATATTATGTAATAATTTTGTCTATTTTTTACATGTCTTATCAATATGTCATGTTAAAAGATTGCTCTTTTTTCAGTAAACTCTATGTATCCTTTCTAGTTGAATAAGAAATAAGGACTTGATTTAAAAAATTGCTAATAGATTTTTCTTTTTTTTTTTTTGCAAGAATGGGTTGTTGCACAATGAACACCTGTTAACATTTCTGGAAGCAAAAGCCCATTTGAGCTAATAGTCACAGGGAAGCAAGGGTGGCACAGTCAAACTGAACGCTGAGCAGAACTTGGGTATGCACATTCACCTCCACACATCAGTACTGGTTTCTGTAGCAGTCAGGAAAACTCATAACAGCGAATGGACAAAGAGCATAGAATATTAATGCCTGGGAAGAGTATAATGTACCCTCTGAACTGCTTGTTCTTTATACTCCAGGAAAAAACCAACTCTATACTTCGGTTAGGAATTCATTTTATTTTTAGAAAAAGGGAATTTAAGCAAAAATAAAGGGTTTTTTATGTAATTAAAATGCAATTCATCATGGATTAGCTTTAAATTTGGAGAAGGGCGATAGTGCCAAATATCATGATTCTTCTTCTGTGCACAGACATCAGTTTTTATTAGTCTGATTTCATTTTTGCCATATTCAGTTTGGTATGCCTGGGATTACTGCTGGAGGGCAGGAAGGCTCTGCAGAGGG